TTTCCCTCTAATGATATGAACCACTTTATTTAAGCGCAAATATTTTTGCAACGATGAGGCAAATGGATTATCATTAATTTAATATTCTAATCGCATAAAAGTATTATTTCAAAGCTTGGTTGATTTAATTGAAGAAGAATATTATTATTCTGCTTCAAAATAAAATGTAGATTTTAATTGATATTTGTATTTTTGTTACTATTATATTATTTTATTTTTAAGTGTATTCTTTATATAACAAACATGTGATCATTTTATCAACATGTTACTTACACAGAGGTTTTTGTGATGAACTATCGCTATTCTTTTAATAAAAAGAATTTCAGTTATTATTGCAGAGTATTGTTAATTTACTTGGAGGTTATTATTATTTTATTTCATAATACTCAGATTTCAATCAAAATCTTAATTTTCGCTTGTTTTCTATTTTAGACTCCGTTCTCGTATTACATTTATATACAATTGATTCATTCGCGTCGCGATTCATTCCATCATCTCGTCTTGAAATTGATATTTTCGATTCGCCGGCGTCGTCGCGCACGAGCAAATCGGAAATCGCGCAGTTTCTCGATCGCGATAACACACACTACCTCGTAATATCAATCACAGGAAAGAGCTCATTCGCGGCGCTCGCCAAATCGACACGCGAAAAATCCGTCTCTCTCCCGCGATTAAATGAAAGAATAATAGAAAAGAGCGAGAGTATGGAATAACGCGCGGCGGAAATGACGACGTTGGCGGAAGATGATGTTCCGCGCCGCGCGATCTTCGTCGCGAAAATGACGGAGAACCGCTTCCAGCAAATCGATTCTCGTTGCGCTCTCCAGCTCTCGCGCGGCGCGAGGGAGCGAAAATAAAAATGACAGTGTCTCGATACACGAAATACTGCTGGGAGCCTTTCGCCTGCGACGTAAATAGGAATCCGTAGAAATAAATTCGCCTTTATTTCGCGCAATTTCCACCTTTCCTTTGTCCATCTCTCTTTTATCTCGCTTGCATCCAGTTTTCTTATATGTTCTTTCTTTACTTTTTGTGTCTCGGTCCGATGCAATGGCTACTTTGGAAGCCCCTCCGCTAATTAAAAAGCTCAGATCAAAGAGGAAATTTATTTTAAGGTATCTAGACGAGTACGGCAAAAAAAGTTATACGGGTGTTCCTGCATCATTTGATATAGGTTTAAAGTAACGGAAGGATATATGGGTGACTCCAAAAATATATTAGGGTGGAGGATGAATTTTACTTTATAACTGTAAGCAAAAAAACCGAACAAATCTATATTTTTATATAGAAAAAAACTTTTGCATCTATATTCTCGCCATCTTCGCATATATTATTTTATCCGCGGAATTTTATTTTACCTAAATCTTACGACACGATTTATATTATAAAAGAAATAAAATAAAGTTTATCGGTATTTATTTTCGTTGTTTGCCTCATTATAAAAAATTCATCGACCTAACAACAATTTTTCAATGTCGCCTGCGAAAAGCAAAATCATTACGGTTGTTCACTCTCGCTGGAGATTGGATTAGTTAAAAACCAAGAGCTGGGGATCAGAAATTCATGTAACGAATTCAACGACAAAAAAGTTGTTTGACTTTATACATGACTCTGCCAAAAAGATTAAGCACAGCGCGTCATTATCCCGATATAAAATTCGCCCTGTTTATCCTTCCCTCTTCCTTCTTATTTCCCTTGGATCCCCAAGGGCGGAATGACGATGTCTACATAAATGGTTTTCCGGCTGAATCTGACGAGGTTGTTTCTTCGGGACGATTAAATGGGGAGATTGGACGCGCCCTCTTGTTCCTCGCTGTATTTACCCCCACCCCCACCCCAGCGATAATTTGGAATTGCACCTTGAGGCTATATCTGGTATCATCTATGTCAGTGATTCTCAACCGATAACTTGCAAAGGCTCGTTCGCGGGGACTTGCAATTAAAAGTTCTATAACAGCATCCGTTCCAATCAAAACTTTTTTTATAGATATATAGATTTTCTTATAGATATGTTATACGCAATAATTAAAATTATCTTATATATATATATATATGTACACGAATATGCTTTAAAAAGTGATACATAATATAGTATATTCTTATATAGTCTAAGTCACTATTCTTAACTAGAACTCTGATTAACATATGCTAAATTTTAGAATCCATCAATTTTTGAGAATTTATTAAAATGATAAGCATATTTGCAATCATTAATTATAATAAAAGTCACCAATATAAAATTTTCTAGGCAATGAAAGATATAACTGACGTAATCTTTAAAGAGAAAATAATATTACGGGTTAATTCGATATTATATATCGAGACAAAATAACTACGTAATAAGATGATAGCGCGACTGATAATTTCGTTAATATTTACTTGCGCTCGTCTTGTACATATAATAATAACTCGTTTGTGCGAGCGACAACAAGAAATAATCGATTTCCATTAATAAAAGATCTCGTAAGCTACTTACAAGTAAGCAAGTATAGCGAAATGTTTTACGTCGTAAATTAAATTCAAAAGTTTCGTCCGTAAAAATCACGGACGAATTTCAAACTGTTAAGGAACAACATGATGTTCGTCGGAAACAATTTGCACCGTTATCCCGCGAACAGTAATAACCCGCTCGGACCATCCGATAATTAATTGAATCACGGGAACTGTCCGCTCGATAATCACGATAAGTTCTTCCGCGAGATATTACCTCGCGCGCTGATGATTATTTCCACGGAATATTTTTCTCTCTTCTCATTACACATCCCAGTTTCGACATTATGAACCTGGTAATTCTGCGATCATAGCAATCGCCACGATTGCAGAATTATGACGCACAGATTTCTAATGCTTCGTATTAGATCTAATAATCTGAAGAAAAAATTAAAATTTATGCCAATAATATATGAATCATTTTCTGCATTAATTTTGATTTCTCAGAATAAATATTTTTTAAAAAACTTTATATAAAATTTTTATATAGAATTTGATTTTTTAGATCAAAATTGAATCTATATTAATTGCGTTAATGTTTTAACGTTAAAGCAGTTTTTCTTAGTTTAGCTTTTAATATTTGTGTAATTTATAGTTTCACTGACCGAATTAAACCAATTATAAACATTCTTCCATAATTCTCACTATTGATTTTCTATTGTCCTACTTCCGATCTTGTACTACGGCGTGATTAAGAATCACGAGAAATTCGTTCGATGGCAACATCGAGAAAAATTCTCA